CGTTATCCAATGTGGGGAGTCCTGAAGCCCTCAGGAGCATTCGAGCTGAATCACGGAAAGGAAAAGATAAACGACATAGCAAAATTCGCTGAAAACAGTATGAAAGCCCAAAACGTATGGGCGTTGTCTGCCTCGAAAATCCTTTCAATTCTCCAACGGAAGACACATTCAGAAGTCTGGTTTCTGGACTGGTACGCTCCATGGTGTCCTCCCTGTTTGCAATTTCTTCCAGAGCTTCGAAAAGCTTCTCTCCACTTTCAAAAATCGACAATCCACTTTGGCACAGTCGATTGTACCGTGCACTCATCGATTTGTCGTCAGTACAATATTCGCTCGTATCCAACTGCAATGTTAATCAACGGCTCCTCCACACATCAATTCACCCTTCAAAAAACAGCCCGAAATATTATTGAGTTCATAAAAGAGTTTATGAATCCCACAGTGATGAAATTGAATTCCAATAATTTTTATGATACTTTGGGAAAGAAAAGCCCCAGCAATTTGTGGGTGGTGGATTATTTTGCCCCCTGGTGTGGCCCCTGTCAGCAATTGGCACCTGAGTGGACGTCAGTTGCCAAAGTTCTTCATCTTTTGCCATATGTGAAAGTGGCTAGTGTCGACTGCGAAGAGAACGGGAATCTCTGTCGTTCCCAGGGGATCCGGAGTTATCCCACCATTAGATTGTACCCAATGGGGAGTGAAGGACTCAATCAGATTGCCATGTACAGTGGAAATAGAGACGCGATTTCCTTGATGAGATGGATAATTCAATTTTCGGGGATTAGTGTTAAGGAATTCAGTGAACGTGACTTAGAGAGGAAGGTGATTAACAATAACAAGAGGGATGTGTGGGTGATTGATTATTATGCACCTTGGTGTGGACATTGTCAAGTACTTGAACCACAATTTGCTGTTGCTGCTAAAATGCTTGAGGGGAGGGCAAGGTTTGGCAGATTGAATTGCGAAGACTCCCAGGCAATTTGTGGAAGGGCTGGGGTCAGTGCTTATCCAACGGTGATCGTTTATAGGGATGGGGATAAGAGGCTGAATGGAGGTAAGAGGCTGGAAGGGACAACTGCTGAGGGGATTAGAGATGAAGTGGAGATGTTGATGAAGGAGAGGGAGAGACATGATGAATTGTGAGGACAATTTATAGTATTTTGCTCAGAAACTCAATTTATAAAGGGAATTTATACTATAATTCACAACTCGGATTAATGCATTTCATCCAGAATTAGTTATCTTTGAATACATGACGTATGACAAATTTATGATCGTCATATGATCATCATCTCGCTTTACAAACAATGTTCTTCCAAGAAAATACATGATGAATCTCTATTACAGTAAAAATAATTACCAGGGAAAATTTTTGGGAAAAATACATGGAATACCTCAATGATGTAGACAAGATGGGTTGGAAAATCTGAAGAAATTGGGAGTTAGATAATTTTAAGATAAGAAAATATTTACGTAAGCATGTATTCAGTAGTTTTGTATGATTTTTATCCACTTGTACATAATCGAAATTACACAAAAGATTTTTTCATAAAACGATTCACTATGTCCACGATTGACTCTCAATTGTTCTCTACTATTCCGAAAAATTCCGTCTCCAATCGCCATGCTGCACGAAATGTTTGTACAAATTCGAAAAATTTTGTACACAAAATATTTAATTTTCGCTTAGAAAACTAGAAATCGTTATCTGCAGTAGATTAATTCAAGAATATTATTAGTGTCGACAATGAAAAAGATCGGAGTTGTTATTTTTAAGGAAATTGGTCCTGAATTTGTTCGGTATTTCTCGTTTATTGTGGAAGAGGTGCCTAAATTTGTGTGTGCATTCAGCATCGTACTTACACATTCGTCAGTTATTCCGTTCGATGATTACTCCCGCAATGGCCTTGATCGATTATGAATGACAATTAAAAACAAAAATAGCGGTATCAACTGAAAATAGTAAAGGTTAACAAGTCAATTTAACTAATAAACAATCTTCGAGGGATATCTCCGAATCTAAGAGAAACAGCGAGATTTTTATCAATGCATTTTTTCTCGCTGTCAGGATTTTACCAAAAAAAATGTAAAAAAAATTTGATTTAGATTCAAAGATATTCCTCAATAAACTGATTAAGTAATAACTTGACTTGTGGTCTTTTACCTCTTTAACAATTCCTGATTTAGGGAGATGAAATCAGAGAATTAAGGGCTTTCCCTAATATTTCTATAATTTTTCTTTGTAAATTGTGCTTTTTGTAGATGATGGAATATAATTTGTATAAAGTGATATTCTATTCATGATTTGATCAACTTTACGATGCTCTTAACAAAAAAAGTAATGTCTTACAAACATCTTGAGAGCTCTCTTCAATCTTTGCTTTGAATTCATAATCTTCAGAGATACGATCCAGACCCAAAAGAAGAATAAACTTTTTCAATTCTTCAATATTTTCAATGATTTTTTTTGTAATTTCTGAATTACTATTCGGTGTCCAAGAATT